AGAAGGCCTAGAAGCTAAAGACTCCGTATACACGAAAACTCAAATTCGATGCAAAAAAAAAAAAAAAAAAAAAAATCTGACCCGCCGACCGGAATTTTGAAATACCATGTTATGCAAAACGAAAAATTAACTTTGCGTGGCCTTATGTGCTCTTTTAGCTAAATTTTCGAGAATCTCGAAATACCAATGAATTTGCGGATTCTCGTGCCATTCTTTGGCCGCCTCTTTGGAGTAGTCTCCGATTTCATCCTTTTTTAATCTTTTCCCTTCTTTCTTCAATTTTGCAGTGAAATTTCTACGAAATATAAAGAATGCATTTTGAGGCCTTGGGGCACGTGATGAACGGGGTTTATTCTTGTGATTCACCGCTCTTCGCGATTTCGAGTGAACAATCAATTCTACAACTTTTAAGTACAAAGTACAAGGAGACATCTTTGATAATTCATTATACAATGAATTTTCGTCAATGGATTTATTAAAGATTCCCATCTTGAGAGAAAAATCCATCGAGAGTTGAACGTCACCCGATTTCGTCAATTTCATCATTAAAGAAGACATTTTAAATTTGTCAATTTTTTAATTGTGAGGATTCAAAGATCAAAGGAAACAACACCTTTAAATAAGAAACTTTTCATTATCAATAAATGGTAAAAACATCTGCTTCTAGATGACGTTCTTGGGGTTAATGATTATTTTTGATTATTTTTACACAGTGAATATAGAAGTAATCTATATAAATGAGTTATCCAGGTAATTGATTTACATCAACTAATCATACGAATGTCTCCCTATGAACCCATGGGTCAACCCACGGGTTGACCTGTGGGTTGGCTACCCAGGTTGTTACAACTCAACCCAGGTGACCACCCACCCACGGGTAACCTGGGTAAGACCCACCCGGATCAAAACACTGCACACTATAAGAACTGGCCAAATTTAAATTTAAACCCGGATCGTTTGCTATTAATGTGCTTGTCCAATTTAAATTATACAGTTTGCAATAAAAGTTTATTTGAAACTATTTTAATAAAAGAGTTTTAGGCTAAACATTTGTTCTACAGCATGATTCAATAGACATTAATATATTTTGTTTTTAGCAAAGTTCAGGGGGAGTAATGTCTTTTAGAGATTATTTTGCATAGTAAACATTATGTTCATAACTTTCGATAATTTTTATTAGTGAAACATTCTGTTTTAAAAAGTACTTTAAAACATCCTGGGCAATTGATTTACACCAGTCAATCAGACAAATTTCTTATGTGGAGTAATCATTAGTATAAAAACAGGGCAAAAACTTTGCAATTTTTTTGACTCCATTACTGTACATTATCGACAAAAGCTAAATAAAAATTTTTTTATAGGATTACCTCATAGGGCAAAAACGACACCGGTTTAGTGACATAACTAAATGATAAGAAGCGAGTAGTTTGAATCTCTCTTTATCTATTGCGAATGTGCTAGAACTAAATAATTGTTGTTGGATAAGTCGCGTTAAGTACTATACATAAAAAATTGTGCAGATGACATTAACATCAATATAGAATGATGGTTCGCATACTTGGAAATATTATTTCTAATTGCTTGCACTAGCCGTTTAGGAGATATACCAGAAGTTATTACCGCCAGCCTCCAGGCTTAAGCCACATATACAGTAAATACCAAAACGACCATTATAATTCTATGTATGCATATGCAAATTTTTTCACGACCAAACCTTATTTAATACACTGGCGATCATAAATAATGCAGCAAAAAAAAAAAAATCGTTAGATCATATTATCTCGCGCAATTCGGAACGGATTCCCTTTTTTTTTTAAAAAAAAAAATCACAAATAGTATCAGTTTCACAAATAAAATTTTTTAAAAACATTAATG